CTCCCGCACCGGGGCACGAACCCGCGTCCCCTGCATCGGCAGGCGGACTCTCAACCACTGCACCACCAGGGAAGCCCGAGAATAACTTTTTAAAAACATCTTTTTCTTATATTGACTTTACCATTTGGAACAGATTAAAGAGAGTTTAGTCAGGCTGGAAATAGAACTATTGTGTGTAAGGAGGTCTTGAGGGGATGCAGGGAGTGGCACAAGTAAAACCCCCTCTGAGCCTGTCCGGTCAGGTCACGGGGGCTGAGGTCGCGCAGCCAGCCCGGGGGTGCTGAGGCGTCCAGGTCGCGGGGCTGAATGCGCAATGACGTCTGTGGCCTCCCCTGACTGTCCTGCTCCAGACCTGGGGGCGCGCTGGGCAGAGCAGGTCGCGGTGTCCCCACTGCCCCTCACAGGTGTCAGGTTAGGGTGATTTCCCCCACCCACAGGGCGCCTGGGAGGGGTGCTGTGTGTCCGCTGCTCCTGACTGCGTTTGGGACATCTTGCTGGACCTGGCGTGTCTCTGCCAGCTGCCTGGAAACCCTTCCTGAGGCAGTGGAGGTCGGGGAACAAGTCCTGTGCGCGGCTCCCGCTCCTGTAGCAGGGGCCGCTCTGTGCTGGGGCCCGCGGGGCCTCAGTGGGACAGACGACCCAGGCGCTTGGCATCGGTGGGCTGGTTCTTCCTTCCCAGCCACAGCTCCGTACGGCACCCACCCTCCGCCCTCTCTGTTTGTGGGCAGTGACCCCAAGGCCTGGAAGGACCCCATGGCCAGAAAGAGCAGCCTGAGCCCCTGGGCCCGGACTCTCACGTGCACAGTGCAGCCTGCAGGCCCCGGGACTCCAGGCACGCCGGGGTGTGGGGTGCTCTTGGACTCTGACCCTGACCCCAAACAGAAGTTCACTTTTATCTGTTTGTATACATTTGGCTTCCATGAAAGATTTCTGCCTGAAGAATGTGACGTGTGGCACAAGTTTTTCAAGAAGCAGGTGCTTACGCTTCGACCTGTCAACCAGAGCATTTAACAGGCCAGCGAGCGTGCGGGGTCCGCCCTCAGGACCTGTTTGCCGTCCACGCGCGGGGTCCTGTTGATCATGTGCTTTTGCGGGATTTGCCTCCTCTTGGGTGCTGATGTTTTCTTATTTTTCCCCAGCGTCCTTCAGTGTCCTGGAGTCTGTTTTGGGGGAAAGGGAGTGTGGCTTGTCCTCCTCTCCCTTGGCCTTGCCCTGCCGGTCTGTGGTGCCCGTTGGCATTCGGGGTTTTGTTCTTGTTCACTAGCATTTTGTGGCTGGCACACACAGAGCCAGCATCCGTGGTCAAATCCGGTTACTGTCAGGGCTGCAGCTTCCTTCCTGGCTCTGAACCATCTGGGTGAACCCCGTCCTTCCCATGAAGTGGTTTTGTGGTGCAGCTGAGACAGTTAAAGGGCTTTGGAAACTGCCACGTGTCCTAACTTGAAACTGCACTTGATTCTTCCTTTTAAAGGATTGAATTAAACCTATTCCAGGAGAGGAAGTTTATAAAAGTGTTCTGTGTTAATTCAGAAATGGTCTCTAGAACTTCAAAGTATAGTTGCAGTGTTGTGCTGTGCAAACCCCATTTTCTGATGCTTGTGACTGAGCTGAGAATCCAGAGCCCACGAAGAGTGACTTGACGTTTTCTGTGAGCTATAACCTGACTGCTGCGTGTCGTCACGTGAAAATATGTGGCATAAGCTGAGCTCCAGCCTCACCACAGAGCCACGCACACGGGCAAGGCCCAGCGTTGACCCTCCTCCCCACTCAAGCAGGGCGCCGCGGTTCCCGCGGAACTGGAAGAGGAGGAGGAGCAGCGGCTCTGCTGTCGGGAGGAGGCTGAGCTGCTGAAGCGCCGGTCGGAGGCGCTGCTGGAGCAGCACATCACACAGTTAAAGGTACTGGGCTTAAGGGTGATCTATTTCATTGCTATCCTTTCTCACCTGCAAAGTAAATAAGAAACATTTATTCTAAATTAATTTTGATATGCAAAATTAAAACATATTCATTGTCTTAGAAACTGAGATTTTTCGAGGCAACTTTTTTTCCTTCATTTTTATATTTAAGTTGACTAGTTAGCATTCCTTTTCTTTTAAGAAATTGTCATCAAATAGGTGACCCTTAACCAACACGGAATTAAGCGTGCCGGCCCTCTGCACAGTTGAGAATCTGTGTGTGATTGATAGCTGGCCCTCGGTACACGTGACTCCTCCATATCCGCCATTACTGTGCATCTGCACATTCAACCAGCCACGGATCGTGTGGTGCTGTAGTGTTTACCATTGAAACAAAATCCATGGGGCTTCCCTGCGGTCCAGTGGCTAAGACTCCTCGCTCCCAGTGCAGGGGGCCTGGGTTCGATCCCTGTTCAGGGAGGTAAGATCCCCCATGCTGCTCAGCACAGCCCCAAACAAACAATCCGAGGGTAAGTGGACCCACACTGTCCAACCCCATGGTAAAGAGCCGGCTGTATTTAAGCCTGGGAAAATCTGAGCCCTGCTCATGGCCTTGCTTTGGTGACTCAGCAGCGGCCACGTCAAGCCTTTTCTTGCTTCAAGGGGCCTGTTGCCACGGAAGGGTGTCTGCACGGGATGAGTGAGCATTCAGCGTTACTTCTCACAATGATTTTTACTGTGGTTTTGTTTTGTTTTTAATTACAACTTTATTGAGCTATAACGCACATATCATAAAAATCACTCTTTTTGAAATATACAGTTCGGTGGTCTGCAGTATATTCACAAAGTTGTACAACTCTTATTGCTGTCTAATTCCAGAACATTTACATCACCACAAAAGAAACCCCCCACCCGTTAGCAGTCTCTTCCCTCCCCCAGCCCCTGGCAACCCCGGATCTACTCTCCGCTTCTGTGGAGTTGCCTTTTCTGAACATTTTATGGAAATCGAATCATACAAAATGTGGCCTTTTGTGTTTGGCTTCTTTCACTTAGAATAATGTTTTCTAGGTTCATACATGTTGTAGGGTGTGTCAGTACTTGCTGTTTGCTTTCTGTATATCTTCTGTCTCTTTTGTTCCTCTAAATCTCCATTACTGCCGCCTTTTGTTTTGATTTCCTTGATGTTAATTTTTCTATATTTTTTTGATTTTTGTTTTTGTTTTGTTTTTTTGTTCGTTTGCTTTTAAATTTTTTAGTGCCTGCCCTGGGCATTACATTGAACATTTTATAACAATATGGTTCAGATTAATACCAACTTAATTTTAATAGTTCACAAAATTGTTCTTCGATATAGCTTCCTTCCTTCCTTTCTTCCTCCTTTGTGCTAATATTGTCATACAAAGAACATCTGTATACACTTTATGCTCGTTCTTTATGCATTTGTTTTCTAAATCACATAGAAAAGAGAATTACAAACTATACACATAAATATAAAAGACAAAATAAATTACTTGCTTTTCGCCGCTTTCTAGATTTTCTTTGTCTCTCAGCAGTTTGATTATGACGTGTCCAGGTGTGGATCTCTGAGTTTATCCTACTTGGAGTTCATTGAGCTTCTTCTATGTATAGATTAATATTTTTCACCAAATTTGCAAAGTTTTTAGGCATGTTATCTTCAAGTATTCTTTTGCCCTGTTCCCCTTGTCCTTTCCTCTGGGACTCTCATGACGTGTATGTTGGTCTTTGAGGATGTCCTAGAGGCCTGTGAGCCTACTTACTTTATTTCTTTTTTCTTTTTTTTTGCTTTTTGTTCCCCATAATGAATGATCTCATTTGGCCTGTCTTCATGTCTGCTGACTCTTCTGCTCACTCGAATCTGCTGTTGAGTCCCTCTAGTGAAACTTTTATTTCAGTAATTGTGCTTTTCAGCTTCAGAATATCTGTTTGGTTTCATTTTATAATTTTATCTCTTTATTGTGGGGCTCTGGTTTTGGGCATGCCTTTAATGCTGTGGCAGGCAGTATACATCTCTGCCTTGGCTTTCACTTCCTTTTAAGTTTTTTGCTCAGCCTCTTATTAGCTCCAATTGTTATCAGTGCCTCAGGCCGCTGACATGTTAAACAGTTGCTGCTAATTGTTCTTGCCAAATGGCTTTGGCACAGGATTGTTGAGGTGAGCTCTGAATCAGAGCCAATAAGAAACCAGCTTTGAGAATGGAGCTCTTCAGTGAGCTGCCAGACAGGTCAGTTAGTGGCGGTTGGTGGCGGTGCTTCGGTGCAACCCGTTCTTCTCCTCCTCCCCCCACGGCCGCTGGACTGCATTTTCTGTCCTTCGTTTTTGGCGGGTTCCCTGATCAGAGATGGAACCCTGGTTGAACCCTGGGGCCCACAGCAGTGAAAGCTTGCAGTGGTCCTAACCACTGGACCACCAGGGAATTCCCTGGGCTGCATTTTCAAGGCTATCCCAGAGACTGGAGTGATGGGATTAGGGCAGGTTCAAACACCCAAAGCTTCCTGTTCTGATGGCGACTCAGCCTTTGTTTTTAATAAGCACTTTCATTTCCAGAGCTATGAAAAAGTTGATTTTGACAGTTTTTGCCAGTGTTCTCAGTGCTCTTGTAGGGGAGTGGATTTTTGGAGGTCCTTATTCTGTCATTCTGGAAGTGCTGTCTCTGTAGTTAAAAAAACAAGCTTATTTCATTAATGTATTTTAATTCATTAGGTGAACATTATTAAAAATATTTTTTATTATTTAAGAAGAAACGGAGTTTATTTTTTAAAACCAGAGGAAGTTAGGTTTCTAAATATCTTGGATTTTGATGGTCACGATACGCTGATGATGGGAGAATTTCTTAACGTGACCATTGGGAAAGATAGCAGGCTGTTTCTTTTGTATTCTGTATGATAAGCACATTTGAACGCATGTTCACTGGGGATAGTGACCTTGGCCTTTTTGATCATTGTTCTTGGCACAGAATACGGAATCAATGAATATTTGTTGAATGAACTAAATTCTAGTGAACAGCAGAGAAATGGAGAAATTATCCTTATAATTTTAGAACTTAATGGCATTTTTTGTTGTTGTTAATAATGTACTTTTGTACAGGGTGAATTTGAAAGTGAAAAGAAAGCTGCTTTGCATGAAAAAGAGGCGATACATAAACTTGAGCGCGAGCAGGCACAGTCTCTTTACCAAAAAGAGAAAGAGTCTCTGTCTCTGCAGCTTCGGGAGAAGAATAACCAAATTCTGCAGGTATGTGGGATGCATCTTTTCTTTGTTAATTCTTTTTTTGTGTATGGTAAAATGTGCATAACATGATATTTACCGTTTCAACCATTTTAAGCGTACAGTTTAGTGGCATTAACCGCGTTCACAGTATTGTGCAAGTATCGCCACTATCCATTTCCAGAAACTGTTAATCATCCCAAGGAGAAGCTCTGCCCTCGTTAAAAATAACTCCTGGGCTTCCCTGGTGGCGCAGTGGTTAAGAATCCGCCTGCCGATGCAGGGGACACGGGTTCAAGCCCTGGTCCGGGAAGACCCCACATGCCGCGGAGCACCTATGCCCGCGTGCTACAACTACCGAGCCTGCACTCTAGAGCCTGCGAGCCACAACTGCTGAGCCCATGTGCCACAACTGCTGAAGCCCACACGCCTAGAGCTTGTGCTCCGCAACAAGAGAAGCCACTGCAATGAGAAGCCCGTGCACCGCACCTCGCCGCAACTTAGAGAAAGCCCGCATGCAGCAACAAAGACCCCAGTGAAGCCAAAGATAAATTAATCACTTAATTAATTAAAAACATAATAACTCCCATCCCCCTCCATCCTTCCCTGGTACCCACCACTGTACTTTCTGCCTTTGTGAATTTGACTCCTCTAGGGATCTCGTTTCAGAGGAATCACACAATATATGTTCTTTTGTGTTTGACTCATTTCACTTAGCATAATGTCCTCAAGGTCCATCCGTGTTGTGCGTGTATCAACATTCATGGCTTTTTATGGCCGACTAATATTATTCCACTGTATATAGACACCATATTTTGTTTATCTGTTCATCTGTTGGTGGCCACCTGTTAATGGCCGTGTCTTCCTTTGGCTGTTGTGCATATGCTGCTGTGGACACTGGGATGCAGGTATTTGCTTCAGCCCCTGCTTTTGACTCTTGGGTATGTATCTAAGAACAAAGTTGTTGGGTCATATGCTAATTCTGTGTTTAACTTTTTGAGGAACTGCTAAACCGTTTTCCACAGCAGTTGTGGCATTGTGCATTTCCACCAACAGTGCACAAGTGTTCCAGTTTTTCCGCATTCTTGTCAACATTTGTTGTTTTTCATTTTTTTAAATAATAGCCATCATAATGGATATGAGGTGATATCTTGTTTTTCTTTGCATTTCCCTGATGACTGGTGGTATTGGACATCTTTTCCTGGGTTCATTGGCCATTTTTGTCTGTTCAGGTCCTTGACAGTGTTTTTCTGTGGAAGTACAGTTGCTTTACAGTGTTGTGTTATTAGTTCCAGCCGCGCAGCAGAGCCACTCCGTTATGTGCACATGTGTATGTATATACATACGTGTGTGTGTGTATATGTATAAAGTGTATATATATACTTTTTCAGATTCTTTTCCCTTGTAGGTTATTATAAGATATTGAATGTAGTTTTCTGTGCTATACAGTAGGTCCTTTTTGGTTCTCTATCTTATATACAGTAGTGTCTACATATTAATCCCAGACTCCTAATATATCTCCATGTCTGAGAGTCTATTTCTGTTTTGTAAATAAGTTCATTTGTATCATTTTCTTAGATTCCACATATAAGTGATATCATACAGTATTTTTCTCTCTGTCTGACTTATTTCACTAAAAATAATACTCTCTAGGTCCATCCATGTTGGTGCAAATGGCATTATTTCATTGTTTTTTATGGCTGAGGTCCTTGACAATTTTTGAATTGGGTTTTCTTCATTATTATTATTGAAAATATGGATGTGTATTTATACTATTTTTAGAGATAGTCCCACTGTGTGATCTTTCAGAGTCATAACAGTACTGCTGCTTTCTTTGGCTTTATCATCTCACAGGGTCACTGGATTTGAACTTATTCACACACTGGGGGCACAGTTTTCGTATGAATATGTGCAGGCACCGCACTAAGCACGTTAGATGTAGACTTTTCTCATTTCTGTGCAGCTCTCTCCCTCTCAGGACACTGACGCCCAGGACAGGTTCCGTTAATTTGCTCAAAGTCCATGGCTGCCAAGTGGTGGGGTCAGGCCTTCTGACTGTAAACACTGCACATGGGTGTGTCTGACTTAATTTGGTACCAAAGATGTCAAAGTCACTCCCAGCCAGATTCAGGGCAGCACGTATCTGTGGAGATCAGTCATTAGCTGCCCGTCAAGGGGCATGTTCCTGGCTGCAGAGGCCCCTCCTGTGCTGGGAGCCCAGCCACGAGAAGGCAGGAGGGTGGGGGGCACGTGCAGGGGAGCAAGGGCGGCACCAGGGCTTAGGCAGGAGGGGCTCCATGAGGAAGAGCGAGCCTTGCGAAGTATCTCTGAAGCTTGTTCAATATACCAGGCATTTCTGCTGATACATGGTACGCATTCTTAAAAAAAACTCATTCTCTGCAAAATACTAAAATTTTCTACAGAATACACCATTCAAAGCCTCTGAGATTTTATACCTCAAGGACCAGAAACAATAACAGTCCTAATAAAAGTATTAGTACGGTTAAAAAGAAATGTTAAATTCTGAACTAAGAGAGAAATTGTAAAACATACATAGCGATTTACCTTTAAAAAGGGGGGATGGTTGCTTGATGGCAGGAGTGTGAGACAAGGTGGGGAGGAAAGACTGAGAGGCACCAGGAGTGGGGGAGGCCCTCGTGCGGGCGCGTGGAGGCGGGCAGCAGGAGGCTCCCCTGGGCCAGTGGGCCGGGCTGTGCGTCCGCTGCCCAGAGGCTCCCCGGTCGGAGCAGGGCGCGCGACCCTTCAGGAAACCAGACTCTGCGGGAAGCTGTTTCCACTGTGAAATTATCTTACAGGTGTCCTTAAAATGTACATGTTCAGTTAAAGTAATACTGTGGAGTAAGGATGGTGTCCCACCACCCACGTGAAGCACCTCAGGAGACCCCACCCCCCGCCCCC